ATAAAGATATATGCATATGTGTATCAGTATACTGCTATTTAAGATAAGATTGCACCACCACGCAAACAGGAGTCCTTAAGAAGTTGTTATGGGTGCTTTGTTTAAGTTTCAAGAAGATGATTATTTTGTGGTGACAACTGATCATTTAGTATCACCAAAATTGAAAAGGCTGATCATTTTTTCAGCAACAACTCATTTGGTACTTAGAGATGTTCATATTATTATGTAAGAAGTTGAACTATAAGGGTGTATAAATCAGTGGTTCAAAGTACAAGGCCTACATGCAATACAAAATACATTGAGAAACTTCTCGTTAACTTTGTAATGGAGCCAGAAACATATTGCTAAAAAAAGGAGATAAAGAGAAATTTACATTGGTTTTAATAGTTCGCATCATAAAGTTCTAGCATAAACCTTTTCAATGATGGCTAGAGCAGGAATGTCTAAGATTCCAAACATTTGGTAATTTTATTAGAAAAATTTGAGATTAATAAACTTTTGTACTATTTTGTTGAATCTATCTTGATAAACACAAATTAGTGGATCCTTCGTTTATTTAGAGATTATATTAAGGTGATTGTGAGGAAGATGAAAGTGTTTATTTACCCTACTGTTTTTTATTCTTGATTTGTTGCATTAGTAGTGGAATTTTTTTGTTGGTATCCTTGTCCTTAATATTAGCAATGGAGGTATTAATTTCTTTAGGTTACTCTGATCAAAGAATAGTATTATTAAGTTGCTCTATGTTTAGCATAGTAGGGGGCATAAATTCCTTCTTTTATCGTCTTCTTGAGCTAAGCATTAAGGTATATAGATGAGAAGGACCTTTGAAGGCAAAAAAGAATTACAACCAGTTTAAGTTCATACTTGTTGTCTCACATTGTCTCCTCTCAGCTTTCTAATATTTACTGTGGAGCATTCTTTTGTTTTATGGAGTTGTTGAATTGCTAAACTTCATTTGAGTTATAGGTATATATCTGTATGTCACTTGAACTAACTAAAAATTCTTATACCCATAATCTAATTCACTTTGTATCTTATTAACAATTTTTAAAAAGTAAACCTTGAAGCTATATCTCAAAGCTTGGTTATATGTATTGTAATGGTTTTTTTTCTCTCTCTTCACATTTGAAACTTCATGTTGGAGGCTGATTTGAAAGAGAAAGCATCTTAACATTAATCTATTGGAGAGGACTGCACTGACCAACTCAAGCAAATATGTTGGTGAAAATGTATGCTTAAGATGCTACATGTGCCTAGAGGAAGCTGAAGCCATCATTTCGTAAAGTAATTGGATTTTTATCGAGCAAACGGTAAATTTGCCTTTGCTTGTCAACTATAGTGCATGTTTCAAGGATTATTTAAACCTAAATTGCTGATGCGTGGTGCTCTAAAATAAGTTATCTTAAGTTGGACAAGAAAAGTAAAGAACATCTCAAAGATGTGTAGAATACAATTTCAACCTGCATATTTTAGGTGTTTGGAACGAAAGAAACATAGATGTTTTAGAAATAAAGAAAATGCTGTCCACACACTCGAACACATATATTTGTTTGTGGTTGTCTTCAACCAAAATAAAAGATGTATACAATATGAATTGCCTTAGACCTCCTACGTGTATTTGTATCCCCTTTATATTCAACAACACTTGGTGCTCTTTTAGTCTTTTGTAATCAATAAAACTTGGCATTTACTTATCAAAAGAGAATCTTTAAAACAAACGGAGAAATATGTAGGGAAAAAAATATCAGAAAGCCATATTTACAACTGATAATTGAAAAATAGCCACGGTTTCAAAAGTAATCGAAATTTAGCCACTTTTCGTGTAAAGATAAAATCCGAACAATAACACTCTTAAAAATCCAGGAAATATTCCAGCATAATATGCTGGGGTTCGAATTTTTTACATATGGGTTTCTAGCATAATATGCTGGAACTTTATAATGTGCTGGAGTTTTATCATAATATGCTGGAAGTTTATATGCAGAAGTTCCATAATCCCGCATATTATGCTGGAAATTTTTGTGTGCAGGAGTTCCATCATAATATGCTGGAAGTAGGAGTGTTCATGGTTCGGTTTGGATCGCTTTTTCCCTAAAAAGAAACCAAACCAAGTAAGTCGGTTTTTCAAATATTAGAACCAAACCAAACCAGTTAAGTCGGTTTTTTCTCAATTCGGTTTATGTCGGGTTTTGTCGGTTTTCGGTTTTTTCGGTTATTTATCGGGTTTTTCTTAAATACAAGACATACACTACTAAACACATATTCCGGCGACCACCACATTTTCAACGTAACAATATTAAATCAATTGCCCTTTGAGAAATCTATTATTTACCAAGATATATTGATGATAATTGAATCAAATAGTGATGCATAATTTAAGGACTCAATTAAAAATATATTATTTTTAACACGAAATGGATTCTTACACTTAACAAAAGAAAACTACCAATCAAACTAGAATGTAAAGGTAAAGAACTATGCTAAAAGTGCAAACTATTAACATTTACCATAAAATTTTTGGAACATTGAATATATATATATATATATGCGTAATAATAAATTTGAAATAGCTACTCCTATAGTCGGTTTGGTTCAGTTTTTTTTTGATTAAAATCAAAACCAAACCAAATTTGATCGGGTTTTAATATTCAAAACCAAAACCAAACCAAACCAAAAAGTATCGGTTCTTTCGGTCGGTTTGGTTTGGTTTTCGGTTTGGTTCGGTTTTTCGGGTTTTTATGAACACCCCTAGCTGGAAGTTTACACGCATGAGCTCTATAATGCAGCATATTATGCTGTAACTTTCCGTGTTTTAACAAAATAGTGCTATTTTTCAATGACTTCGCAAACACTGACTATTTTTCAACTACCAGTCTGATAACTGACTAGCCCGTGTTATTTTTTCAAACAAGTCAACTGCATTGGACCCGTGCTCTGCACGGGCTTGCCTCATCTAGTTATTTATATAAAGGATTATAAAATTGCATCACAAATGGCTCTATAACATTTCATTGATTTAATTTTGCTATTTATAGCCATATTAAGTTCCATTTATTTCACAAATGGCCAGATTTACACCTTTTGGTTATAATTGCATTGATTTTGCAATTATAGCCCACGTACACATCACTGCATGATTTTACCAGAAATTGGTCCCTTATATTTTTAAAATATTGAATAATTATTTTGAAGCACTTCTATGCATGAAAATTATTTTTCTCATTGTTAATTATTTTATAAAATAATTTTTATTCAATTATTTGGGTATTTAACAAATAGCCTTNAATGGGTATAGTTGAAATTCATTGAAAATATATAGATAAGTCAATATACAAAATTTGAGGAAGATTGGAGGTGATTTGGAATGGTTTTGTATCAAAATTCGTAATTAAATCGAGTTCAAAAAAGTCTTCTGCGACACATGTATCAAACATGTATCACGCATGTATCTCACACACAGGTATACATGAATATACATATGATACACAATTGATACAAATATGATACATATGTGATACACAAATGATACACAGTGTGATACACATATCATTTTTTTTCATGTTCAGCTTTTACTTCGAATTTTCAATTCAAACCACCTCAAAACTTCACAAAATCATCCCAAAACTGAGATTCAAGCTCCTTAAGTTGTGCCCAATCTATTCTAATAACACCCACTCAAAACAAAGCAAAAATTTGATATTTTTTTGCTACAAATAGCTAATTGGCTAATTTGGCTAATATTAGTAATATTTTATCAATTGGCCAATTTTTGTAATGAGCTACTTATAAATGGACATAGCTGGTAATTTCCCAAATAAAATTGTACTCATAATTATTTATCAATAAAATTATTTTTCTTCTAAAAATTGAATGGGGTTTGATGTATTTACCCTTTTCGTTATTAACGTCTTTCTACACTAGTGGGGCTAAATTAAAGTTCTAGAACTTTGCCTCTCCTATGAAGTTATGAGTTTTACTGCTTTCTTTAGTATAAGAGTACCCTTTTCCTTTTTCTCCAGCAAGTTGTTCACCCAAGTTAACTCAACTAGTGGCTCCAACCTTTACAACCTCCCTTTTTTGTGCGGAAATACATTTTGCTTTTCAAAGAAATGATAACGTGTTGAATTCCATAATCTGCAAACAAGGGCAGCCAGAGGATAAAGCCACTAAAGCGGTGGCTTTAGGCCACAAAATTTTCGGGGCCCCAATTGTTGTTTGGCAATTCTTATTTGATATCCGATATTTAATTTGGGACATTGATTAATTCAAATTCGTACCGTGTAAAATTTATTAAAGTGGAAACTGTTCCTTATAAGGAATTTTTTTCGTTCCAAATACTGAAACCGAATACTTCCGATTAAAGAAGGAGATATGCTATCCATCCCACCACAACTCTTCTCGTGAGGTCCCAAATCTTTTGAAGAAAATATTAAGTATTTCAAAGTAGAAAAGTAAAATATTTATATATACAAAGGATTACATTAATCATTAGAAAATAACTAATACACTATTAAACTCTATTTTTTTTCTTCAGGTTTTCATCATTGCAACAAGTATATTGAAACATCAAAAAATTCTTTTAATATAAAGTTATCAACTTCTTGAATCATGTTCTATTACATAAGATCATACTGCACATGAGAGATTAAATGGTTTATGCAAAAAAAAAATTAAGTAATTTTATTCTCAAAAAGCTAGAAAAATCTACTTCAACTAAAAATATATATGATTTTTTTAAAAGGGCCGCACAATAAAGTTTGGCTTTAGGCCAGCAAACTTATTGAGTCGCCCCTGTCCGCAAGTCTAGCACCCTAAAGTTATTTCAATGGCTTTGGAAATAAGAAAAGTTGATCAAGTACATAAGTTGTGATGTACTATAAAAAAGGACTGAGAAACCCAAGATTTCTCAGCTGAAAACATTCTTTTCTACATTTGGAACCTAAGATAAAGTCCAATACAGCAGAAGAGCAGTATTAGGACAGAAGATTTGCCAATAATTAATTCAACATCAAACTCATCTCAACATTAAAACCAGGGAAAGCATTCATTTGGGAAAAGCAAACACTAACACATGTTGGAAATATCAAGATTTTTAGGACAACCAATACCAAATAGTCGTACATAGAAACTCCAAGAACAAAATTAGACAACATCTACTCAGATGTTCACTTCTTGGAATTTCTCAGGAAACGATAAACTTAACAATTTATGTCCAACTACTTAAAAAAGATTCAAATCCTTGATCACTAAATGACCTTGATCAGATGGACGTAAGGCCTCCCAAGCAAGCACCAACACAATATCGTGCTGCAAGAGTAAATAAAAATCACATCACCAACTTCGCATAACGTCAACAGGTAAGATAAATAAGAAGGAAATCGTAAATGACACTCATACAGCACAACATCAAAGTAACAACAAACTGATGTCGCAATGATAGGATATTTTGAACAGGCTAGAACATCTAATAATCATAGCATCATTATCATGACAAAGTAAAAGATGAAATCCATCTACAACCTGCGCTCAGTTTAAATGCTACATGTGTGGTACTCAGATGATGCCAAAAACAATTTTAATGCCATATCTATAGCAAATTGCATGGCTCTATTAGAACACGCTTCCCTTTCCACGTTGCCCAAACATAGGTTTGCAATTATTTATCTGCTTAAAGCTTATGCACATATCTTTATTGAAATGTGTTCCTCAGAAGAATGGAAGTTAGAACTAATTTCTGCTGGAACTAAAGTCAATAAAGACCCTGTAATTAACCGGGAACAGGAGACATGACCATCATTTTACATGTGAGCATTAGTTTTTCACAACTTCTGCATGCACACAGTAAACACAGGTTACAAATGTTTCCTGAAGCAGGGAAAAAGACACCATAGAGTGAAAAACTAATGCTCTATAGTGTCTTTTTCCCTGCTTTAGGAAACATTGAAGTATATTAAAAGATCTCTGTTTCACGCACTTTTTGGGCGTAAGAAAAATACCAGCATGTATAGATGCTTGGCATTTCGTGAGTGTTAACTGCAGTTGAGTGCCATACTTTGAGCAAATTGTTCAGGCCATCTTGGCATGTAAATGCAATGTTGTCAAAGGCGAAAAGCTCTAAAATGCGTTGCAGGTCTATTCGGGCTTTAAACGCAAAGCGCAACTAAAGTGTGCCCTTTAGTAAAAAAAGGAGTAATGAAGGAAAAAATAAAAATATATATGTAATTCTCTAAAATGCGTTGCAGGTCTATTCGGGCTTTAATCGCAAAGCGCAATTAAAGTGTGCCCTTAAGTAAAAAAAGATGCAACGAAGGAAAAAATAAAAATATATATGTAATTCGAGAAAATAATAACAAATTTATTCATAATGTTTTCCGTAACAGCTAATACACTTATTTGCCAAGTATATTTGTTGTTTAGTGCCGCTTGATTCAAGATAGAACTCAAGGAGAATGTCGTATATGCCTTAATGCCCTGCCTTAAGGCGGAAGGCTGAGCTTTTCTGAGCTTCAGGGATTAAGCGCGCCTTAAATGAGCCTTTGACAACAAAGTGTTATGAACGATCTTTCAATTTATCAGGTAAAAGTATTCAATGTTTTAATACTGCAATTGTCCGACGATCTTACGCTAACACAAAACAAAACAAAAAATCAATTCTTACGAATTTTTAGACCAATTATAAAACCATACAAAATGATTCTTTATTCATTAATCTATATCCTATAGCAGGGCAATTCAGACAAATGCAGAAACAAGTAGCACACTAATAACTGCATAACATAGCATAATAAACGATTTAAATAAAAAATAGAGTACCTTATATGTTGCTTGGGTACATGAAAACTCTAACCTTAGATCCCTGCAATCATTACAAAAAACATATTTACAAAATTTTCCAAACACAAATTTAATTATAAAAAAGTAAAATTAGCAATGAGGTCAATATGTACCATGGATTTAGGTGGCAGATTGGACTTGAATTTAGCTCTAACGACACCACTGTTACCATGTGGCCTACAAACTTTACCCCAAATACAACGATAATGTGAATTATTCTTCTTAGTTTTGGCCTTGTAAATATAAGCCATACGCTTTCCTAAGTACCAATCCACTTCTTCTTTAGTGTTCACTCCCTCGATCTGAATCAATGACGTGCTTGGATATTGATTCGACTTCGACCTTAAAATCACAAATATTTTTTTCCAAGAAAATCAATTCGTGCCCAAAATTAATTGAAAAACATAAGTTAAAGACATAAACTAAATGAAAAAAATTAACTTTACCTTTTGTATCCAAGAACGGTACCTCTAACATAGAGCCTGCGAGAAGAAAGGAGAAAAGGGAAAGTAAGAATGTGATTTTTACAGAGGATTTTATGAAAAGGAGATGGAGATTGTAGTTGAAAATGAGAGAGTATTATACCTTACACGCTCTCCTTGGCGTCCCTTCACCATTGTCGACTGTGGAGCTGCACAACTGAGGAATTTGCCGGCAAGAAAGCTAAGCTAAAACCCTAGAATGCAGTAGAAGAGAGTAATTTATATTATTGGGTGGGGCTAGTATTTGGTTGAACAACGGGTGGGTTTGAGGCCCAGTTATAAATTATTGGGCTCGACAATGATTTTGGGTCCAATTGAGAAGAAGAAGGTCAATGGTAGAAATGACACCAGATAGCCATTTTAAAGGGCTGCTATTTAGGAATTAATCAGTGTATCCTGAATTTAAGTTTTTCAGTTAAATTTTTCGGGACAAAATATTCTAAAGTTAAGATTTTAATTCAAAAATTTCAGAACAAAATAAGTACCGACTATTCTCTTTGAATAGTATTCCTAAAATTGGCTGTTTGTGCACCTACCCCGTAAAAATGCCGTGGTTGGCCAGTTTTTGAGCTTCTTTCTTATAGTTTGCGACCACTTGAAATGAAATTCAAATACCCAATTTTTAATGTGAAAAATAAAATTTAAATAAAAATACCCCTAGGTAGAACATGAAAAAACTCTAACATAATGTACTGGAGTTCGAAACTCACTACAGGCGAAGCTCCAACATATTGTGTTAGAGTCAGTTAAATCATCTGATGTCTGCATGTGAAAGGTATAGAACTCATGCACGGTCATATAAATATCCAAGGTTTATTTAGAAATAATTTAACTTTAAAATTCTTATTTTACTATTAATGATATAATTTATGATCATATAAATATTTATGGCTTATTTTAAACGAAAAATTTCTAAACAAATTCTTTTTTAAATTTCTTGCTCAATCAGACACAACCACATAAATTGGAACATAGGCGGTATAATTGAATTCCAGAAGGGAAGATATTGGAATCTTGTACCTTTAGGATGAAAGAGTTACCACTCGGATCTATATTACTTGGAAAGTTGGCTATACAACCTTCCCTATGGTTTATACTAGTCGTACTTTTTACCTCCACAGTTTTTAACATTTATGTACATCTCTTTTATATTGTGCTGTGAAGAATTTCAAAAATAAAATAAAATTTGTTTCCTTCATCAATGGTCCAAAAAATAATTGCAATTTTCATCTATGACAGCTTCATTTGCCTTACCACTGTGTCAATTGGTGTCACATATGGGAAAAGTAAAAGGATTTATTCTTCCAATTTGTTGCGTTTAATTTATTTTTGCACATTTCCTCAAGCACGGCACCTTGTCTAGTCCGTATTGTATACGGGTGGAACCGGACTCATGGTACGCCCCGATCTCCGGTAAGATAAGCCGAGCTCGAAACATGCTGATATGGGACCGAAATCGAGACAAGGGCCTCATCGAGTCGGAGTCCGGAGGCATGACGCCCACCCTCAGAAATATCGGGGTCGTAGTCTAGTATTGATCCTAGCCCTGAACGACCTCGAAGAACATTATCGGGCAATATCAAGCACGACCAACGGAAGGCCGTGATATCCGTGACCGGACGGATATCACGACGAGGATCTCGGCACATATCGATGGGGAACCGGCAATCAGTTGATCAGAAGATTTTTTACCGTTTATAGATTTGTACCTAGAGTAGGACTCCCCTACTATATAAAGGGGGTTTGATAATTAATTCCAGACATTGTAACATGTATTCCAAAGCAATATATTATTATTTTCTCTGTTATTATCTCTTTCTTTTGTTCATTAATACTGGCCATAGCAAGCCTGGATCGAGGGTTAATATTTCAGTAAGGCTAAAACTATCCTCCTCGTGTGATTTGAACTCATTTTATCTTTGTTTATTCAATCTGAATCAATTTATCGCTTTGTATCAAATTAATCTGCGTATCCTTAAAACCATTTACATATTTAATTATTATCCGATTTTGATGGCCCACTCACAATATGTATAGGACCGGGAGATACCGAATATGTTATAAAAGAAGTCCACGAAGGCGCCTGCGGAAACCATTCGGCCATTCGGGCACCGAATTATTAGTTCGAAAAATAATCAGAGCCGGCTACTACTGGATCGACATAGAAAAGGACGCTAAGGAATTCGTACGAAAATGCGACGGATGTTAGAGGCACACTCCGATGATTCATCAACTCGGGGAGCTGCTGCATTCGGCCTTATCACCCTGGCCGTTCTTGAAATGGGGGATGGACATCGTCGGCCCCCTGCAATGGGCACCCGGTAAGGCTCAATTTATGTTATTTATGACTGACTATTTTTCTAAATGGGCAGAAGCCCAGGAATTTGAGAAAGTCAAGGAGAAGGAAGTTATTGATTTCATCTGGGACCACATAATATGCCGGTTCGGAATGCCGGTTGAGATCGTGTGCGACAAAGGGAAGCAGTTCATCAGCAGCAAAGTGAGCAAGTTTTTCGAGGACCATAAGATCAAAAAAGAATACTATCGACACTCTATCACCCTAGTGGGAACTGGAAAGCGGAGTCCACGAACAAAACCATACTCCAAAACCTCAAAAAGAGGTTGACCGACGCCAAAGGAAAATGGAAAGAAATCTTGCCCAAGTCTCTAAGATCGGTCGAAGTGGGAGAACTGAGTCTTGGGTTTTGATATACCACCAAAGAATCGAACGATGAGGCCATGAGTACAAGACTGGAACTTTTAGACGAAAGGCGCGAGGCCGCCCACGTCTGGTTGGCCGCCCAAAAACAACGGATCAAAAGGTATTACAATCGGAGAGCCAACCTTCGACACTTCAATGTCTGGGATTTGGTGTTAAGGAAGGTCACACTAAACACCCGGAACCCGAACGAAGGGAAGTTGGGGCAGAACTGGGAAGGTCCGTATCAAATTATCGAGATCATCGGAAAAGGATCGGACAAACTCGGAGCAATGAGCGGTGAGCGACTACCGAACAACTGGAACGTAACTCACTTGAAACAATACTACTGCTAAGGTACGACCCCATTCATTTCTTTTCTTTATATATTGGACTAACACTTGCAGGTAATGGTCAAGGAATGATACAACTTTTAGGCAGGAAAGCACGCGTTGCACTCCTTTTCCCTTGAACCGGTTTTGTCCAAATGGGTTTTCCGGCAAGGTTTTAAACGAGGCAACAGTGGATCGTGCTAACTTAGAATTGAAGAACGGCTATGCACCAGTGTCAAATATCACATCAACAGTATCCAAGGCTTCTCTAAAGTTCGACCTCGAATATTGAGGGGCATCACCTTCGGATAATGATTTTACCAAGGAAAGAAACTTTGTGGTCGAACAGTTTAGGCTCGGTGGATAGGAGTTACTGTAAGGGCCAAATGGTCAAATGAACCGTGCCCACATAGACCACCCAAGCCATAACACGGAGCTTGTACAGGTTTGCAACCTTGTATATTGCGCACAGAAATGAAAGAAAGTTTCTACCTTGCAGATAAATATGTTGTCTCTAAAGAAAATTACTACATTCTGTTCCCTAAAAGACATCGAGCCCAAGGGCCACCTCTATCCGGATCCAAGGGATCACCCTCGCTCGGGGAATGTCGTCCAAGGCAAGTTTGGACGGCCAGGGCTATCGAAGCCCGGGAGCACAAAAGTCTACTAAGCAGTGCCCAAACTTAAAGGCTACGGCCGCCCCATTCGGGGACTGTTGTCCTGGGCAAGCCCGGGCGGCTCGGGTATCGAAGCCAGGGGTAGAAGGCCTACTTGGAAATACCCGAACCTAAAATACTACAACCATCTTAGAACTGCTCGGAGATGTTCGAGATCCGTAACCATAACATAAGGCCTTCAAAATTTCTAAACCGGTTCAAAGGCTGCCCTCGGCAAAATTGTAATCTAAAAAGTTCTAAGTAAACACTTCAGGGAAAACTTCCGGTCATACCAAGCTCCCACGAGTCCTAAGCAAAACGATATCAAGAACAGGCCTTGTTCGAACCTCCGAACAAAACCTAAATATTATGAGCTAAGGCATTCGAAAACTTTTGAAGTCATAAGGAAAAAAGTAAAAAAGAAACAAGATCGGATATTGTCGAAGGGATATATATATATAGGCGAACGACCTCAACAAAAACAAAAGAAAACTTTACAAGGCACCTAAACAGCCTGGTCCTCACCGTAGCTCGCCTCATCATCGGGACCATTGGGTCCTCTTCGCCCCCGGATCCACCGGAACCCTCAAAGTCTTCTTCGTCCTTGGGGTATGCCAACTTCTTGGCCTCGGCCTCGGCCTCGGCCTCGAGCCCCTTAGCATTTTCGATCTCGACCGATAAATCAAAACCTCGGGCATGAACTTCCTTGAGGGCCTCCCTTCGGACTGCCACTTCACATATTCAACGATATCTTTCAGGCGGTCCTAGGCTGCCTCAGCATCAGATTTGTACTGGGCCACCATCTCATCGGCATCGGCCCTGGTTATTTCAGCCACTGACTTGGCTGCTTTAAGCTCCTTGGCGAGGGTATTCCGATCGCCAATAGCCGAGCCCAATTGAGACTGGAGCTCCTCGATTTTTTGGGATCGAACCTCAACTTTCTCCCTCATTGCTCGAAGTTGAGCCTCCGCCGAGGTTAATTGCACCCCGTCAGTCTCCTTTTTCGAGGCTAAGCAATACATCTTGCCCTTCTACTCTTCGGCCTCGACCTTGATTACATCCATCTTGGCCCGGAGTTGGTCGATCCGATCAATCTTATGTTGGACCTGCGGGTTCTGACCATTAGTCAGCGTGTCTAGCTTATCATCACTAACTTCAAAGATTTTTACCTGTTCCACCAGGTCGGCGTGTTCTTTCTAAGCCACATCTAACTCGACTCGAAGGCTCTTAGCCTTTCCTTCACGTTGCTCGCTGAGAAGTTTGTACATGTCTCTCTTCTCAGCAAGCTCTTTGACTTCGGCTTTGAGTTGGCTCAGCTCATCCCGATACCAGAGGAAGGTTTCACGGTGAAGCACCGAGTCCTGCAAATATGAGAAGAAATATTAAGCTCATCAAGAACTAAAGCTGAAAAATGAAAAAGATTGGCAACACTGTACCCGGTTCAGTGCCTGTTGTGCTTCATTGAACAGGCATGATGCATCCACCTCGCTCATTTTTTCCTGGTCTTCGTCAGTTACTAGGCACCGA